GCCTGCTCAGCACTGTCTGTACCCACTCTGCCTCCAGACGCACGACGGGCAGCCCTTCTCTGTAGTCCTGGCCATTCGGGGGGACCGAGGGCCAGTCCCTACGAGGGGGCAGAGAATAAAACCTCCTTTCAGCCCAGCTCCTCTGAGAGGCAGCCTCAAGGAGAACCACCTGCCAGGAAACACAAATGTAAGTTAAAACCGCAGGGGTCTCTTTCCACCCATTAAATTAAAATGTTCTGAGAGAGCCAGTGCCCAGTGCCTGGGGTGGGGACGTGGGGGGTAAGCTGGCAGCCGGGCTCTGCTGCTGACTTTACAGCTGGGATAATGAGCTTGAAAAGCAAACTTGTATCAGCCATTAAGCAACCAGAAATTTTGCTTCTGGGAGTGTCTCCTAAAGAAATAATCCCAAATACATGGGAGAAAGGACACGTGCTCCATCCACACATACACACACACCCTAAGAGTCAGTGCTGAACAGGCCTGGAAGTCTGCTCGCCCACAATTTTTTTTTTTTAAGCTGAGCCATCTTGCCACCTGTTGGCAGCTCAGCGGCTGCTCAGCTTGGGCCGGGAATCGAACCGCTGTTGCTCAGAGCTCAAACTCTTGAGCGAGCTCTTAACCAACTGAACCACTCGGCCGGCCCCACAATTTTGTATATGGAGAAACTGAGGCCAGAGAGACCAGGAACACACCTCCAACCGCACAGTAAGGACTGGGCCCGGGGACCCGACATCCAGCGTCCTTCAGCCAACGTGAGGACTTCAATGACAAGCGTTCGAGGACAGACGCCAAAAACGGGGCAGTCAGGGCCGAGGCAGGATGAGGGTCACAGCCCAGACATAGTTGTCAAGACAGGGTGGTCTTTCTCAATAGCTACCACAAGGCATGTCAGCTCGGCACAGGCGGCTGCCAACACATGAGAGCAGGAAGTCTGCGCACAGAGTGTCTTCTGGACTCAGCTGCCTGGTGGCCGTGGGTCTGCCGTGTGGGTGCGACAGGTGGGCAGGTCGGAGGTGGGCATGGAGAAGCCCGCCCCTGATGGGAAAAGAGCACGTGCTGGCAGCCCGGATGCCACAGGAACGGGAGGCTCGCCAAGTGCTGGCAGAAACAGGTTTGTCCCTCCCGCCGGAGCCGTTCCAGGACCCTGCCGATTGCATCCATTTCCTCATCTGTGGCATCCCCGTGTCTCAGAACAGGTGTTGCCTTTCAGGCAGGCAGGTGGGGGAAGGCAGAGGGGCGTCCCAACAGTCAATCACTTTCTTAAAACCTTCCCAGAACCCTCTCCCAAACCTTCTGCTTACACTTCAGTGCCCAGACCCAGGAGGCCCGGGTGCTAGTTTGCAGCCGTAACAAGGAACCAGACCGAAATGTAGCCACTCCCAGTCCTGGAGACCGGAAGTCCAGGACCAAGGTGTGGGCAGGGCTGTTTCTCCTGAGGCCACTCTCCTTGGCACGTAGACAGTCACCCTGCCCTCTCCCTGCGTCCTCACATGGTCGTCCCACGTGCGCGTCTGTCTGATAAGCCACCAGTCACGTCGAACCGGGGCCTGCCCTAATGACCTCACTTTACCTTAATGACCGTATTAAAGGCCCATCTCCAAAAACAGCTGCATTCTGAGGTCCTGGGGGTGAGGACTTCAACATACGGACTTGGAGGGACACAACTCAGCCCATACACAGCCGTCCCAGCTGCAGGGGAGGCTGGGAGATGGCGCGTCCCAGTGCCCAGCACACAGTGGAGGCAGCTCCAGCCATGTGGTCTCACTGCGCCCAGGTCTGTGGTCTCACTGCGCATCAGCCCTTCTGCCTGGGGAGGATGTGAGACCCGAGGGGCCCGGCACAGAACCCATCTCTCTGAGTCCCAACTACTCTGTTCCCTCTCCTGCACCCCTGGCTCCTTCCTGGGCAGGCCCTGCCCGCGGGGCTGTGGACCTGGCAGGCCTGCCGAGGTGGCAGAGAAGGGGACCCAAGGCAGCGGTTGGTCTGGCACCCGACTGATGGGCCCGGCCTCCTTGTCACATGACCTGGGCTGAGCCTCTCTCACTGAAATTCGGGGCGTGAAGAGATCCAACAGGTCACTTAGCTGAGGGGCCTGGCGCCGGCTCAGCATACAGTCGATGCTCAGCAAGTCGGTGCTCAGACTCAAGCAGCCTGGCACCGGTACAGAGCGCAGGTGGCACCTGCGGTGGCTCACTGCCGCCTGGTGGGAGGCAGGGGGCTTGCCAAAGGAGCTTGCTGTCAGAGTTTGCCTGGAGGTCTCTCTTCCCAAGACGCTCACCCCGGGGCCTGAGTGTCCTCAGAAGCCCACTCCAGCACCTGCCCCCCGAGTTGAGCCTGACTCAAGGTCAAGCTGATAACCTGGACACCATGACCTCACAACGCCCAGATCTCGGTGGTAAAGGGTGTAGAGACCCACATCCGAAAGGGCAGCCGCCATGGGTGGGCTGCAGGGACGTTGCTCCAGCCTGGCTGCGGGGAGACAGCCGAGCAAACACAGACCAGACACCCATCCGATGCCAACAGCTGGGCAGAACGCCACCCCCTCCCGTCCCCACAAAGGGCTCTGTGTCCCCCTGGCTGGGCCTGTGTCACAGCTTTCTGAGTGAAGTGTTGTCGCAGCTGCCCATGGGCCAGCCAGGCAGGGGTAAGGTACTCTGGGATGGGGGTAGGGGCATCGGGGTGGGGGCGGGCACCGTCCACAGGGCTGCTGTCATCTTATCAGCATCGTTGTGACTGTGGCTGCGGACGGGAAGCTGAGGAGGGGCGGAGAGGTGAGGGTTCTGCAGAGGTGCAGCCAGCCCGCAGGCCTCCCGCCCCTCCAGTGCCCTCTCTGGGGGAAGGGCACCTTCCTGGACCAGCCTGTCCTCCCTGGGGATCTAACTGCCTGGTTCTAAACCTGGGTCCTCGTGCCTCCCAGCGGTTCACCTGCTAGCAGGTGGATGAGCACAGCCTGAAAGCCACCAACCGGACGGCCACGCGTCCTGGTCAGGCGTGTACATCCCAAGGTCCTCCTGCTTGTATTCCACAACAGTCACTAGCGCAATCTTGAACCTCCTGCCAGCCCCAAACACTAGACAGGACCACCAACCGCACTTGTCCTGAGGCCCTGATGTGTCCTGGTTTCCATGGACTTGACTCAGTCTCAGAAACACAGCTGGAAAGGCCTGAGGGTGGAGAGGGTGGAGGGAAGGAAACTTCTGGAAAGAGCTCACAGCAGAACACCCAGACAGGACACAAGGCGGCAAGCCTTCTCGCCCACACCTCAGGACTTGTGCCCGCTTTGGCACACAGCGGTCCTGTACCACAGCCTGTGGGAGCCCCTCTGTGAGGGGCTGGGGAGGCTCTTTGGGCTGCAGGCTGGTCACGTGAGCCCTCCCAACACCAGTATCCTCATCTGGAAAATGGGGGTGACCCCTACCTCTCAAATCAGATGATACTTTTCAAAAAGCCTGTCGGTTGCAAATTGCCTGCAGTTTCTGTCCAGCGCGCTTTGGAGCCACTGAACAGGGGTTTGCATCCCAGCTCCTGACCCAAGGTCGATAGAAAAGGCCAAACACGAAAACCCAGAGATGCCCAGATGAGGCTCAGTCACTCGTTAATCGAGGGTGTGATGAGGCGGGAGGGGCCCCCGAGACACCAGTGTCAGGAGTGTCATTAGACTCACGAGCCAGCTCGTCACTGAGAAAAGCCATGGGGTCTGGGTAAAGCAGCCCGGCCCACAGCACCCTTCCCCTGAAAGGGGACACCTGGTAGAAATAGGTGTGGCCCAGCTGAGGCCCATATACTCTCTTGGGTTGGGATGCAGGCAGGGTGGCTGGGCCTTGGGGACCCCTGAGGGGGCCTCCACGAGGCACGGACCCTCCTGGCATCAGGGGGCTCCTCTGATTTATTATTTGGATTTGAGCTCAGAACCAACCCGTCTAAACTGCTAAGGGTCTGGAATATTGTCTGTTGTTCCCATCTTTCTAAAAGCAGGCACAGAGGAATGTAATGGACAAAACAGCCCTCAAAAACATGGAGGGTTTATTTAAAACCAAGGAAACCACCCAACCAGAGATATATTAAATTCAGGTGGATTACTCCCTAGTTAAAACTGTAACACTGATACTAGCAACTACCTGCCGTGTTCCCCGCCCTGAGGGTGCACTGGGGCCCGAGAACGTCAGGGGGTCCGTGCAGGGGTTCGGGTCAGGCCTGAGAGCCCGGTCCAGCTCTGCCGCTTCCTGGCCGTCTGGCCCACGGCAGTCAGGTTTCTCAGGTATGAAACAGGCATGACAATGCGACTCGCCTCACACAGTTGTCTGAGGGTCCAGTGAGATGGGCAGAAAGTTGCAGCTAGTGCTCATCAAAAGTAGCACCTATACCCACGCTGATGCCCCTGGCAGCTCTGTGTGTGTGGGGGTGGGGGGTGGGGGGGGTATGTGTGCACACCCCTTTCTAGGCAGGAAAACGAGGCTTGAGACGTCAAGCAGCAGCCCCTTCGTTTCCAGAGCTGGAAATTCGGTCTTTAAAGACAGATTCTTACCCTTCATGTGCTCAGAGGTTCTCTGGGCTCCTTTGAAAAATAAGAACCAGTCATCATTTATTCTGTGCCCTGTGTGCAGCCGGGTCACATCACCTGCAGGGCTCCAAGGGGACCAAGGTAGGGAGGACACTGGGGCCCCTGATGACAATACCCTGTGGCCTCCTGGACTGATCACAGACCAAGGAGCGTAACCCAATGGCTGAAGGGACCCAGGCGGGGCTGAGAGTGACACCAAACCACCAGCCTGCAGTCCTGATCCTGGAAATCCGAGTGACATGGCTGGAGGCATTCACCAACCTCCTCAATCTGGTCTCACCAATCGGATGGGCACTCACAGCCCTGGGCTGTGCAGAGGGCACGTGCACACATGGAAGGGTTGACTGAGACGCGCTGTGGGGCTGAGGGGCACTGGGGATTGTGACCGACTATAGGAACAAACCGATTCAATAACATGTACACACCTGGAGGCCAGGACTGTAAACTGACCATTCAAATTATTATACATTTTTTTTCTTTGGAAACATTTCCTTGATGGAAACTTCTAGTTCCGCACGAGACAGCAAGAAAACGGATTTTTGTCTCCTTAAAAATCTTAAACGATGCCATTCAGAGGGTCTACAGTGCAGATGAGCGAGGTTATTTAATTACAGGGTAAAGGCAAGTAGTTAACAAAGCATCAGGCTGGCAGAGCTCTGTAAAAACCTCAGACGAATGCAAATTATCAGCTCACCAAAAACCCCTTATTATGACAGTCCGGCTTTCTATTCTGTAGAGGAAAACGAGGTGTGAAAAGTTCTAATTATCCAAAGTCGACAGTCCATCGGGGAGACGTGCTTATATAGGTTTTCTGTTCACACAGCAAATCACAAAGCACCTGAATTAGCCCTGCACTTGGGGGTGACCCCTCTGGGGGGACTCGGGAGGGCCCCGCCAGGACAGGCCAGTGCCACCTGGGGCGCACAGGACGGCCAGCCAGTTAAGTGCAGAGGTGCATGTTCAGGAGGCCAGCAATTTCCAGAATCTTCGAGAACTGGAATTGAGGTGAATGTTTTCTCATTGGCTTAGTGAGACCCAGCTGAACGCATCCTGGAGGGACTACAGCTTCGATCTCAAACCTCCTATGACGGGCTTGTTGACGGAAAATTCCGGCCACCACGACGCCCTCTCCAGCACTTTGCTTTCCTGAAGAATGGTGGTCCAGATGTTTTTATAGAGCTGTAAAAAAATACACACATCAATTAAAAAAAAAAAAGGTTCCTTAGATGGCCAAATGTGAGAATGCAACTCCCCTTATAAGCTTTTGTTAAAAACCTGGGAAATTCTCTCCTGTCACTTTTTAGAAAAATTTTAAGATGACTTTAATTTATATATGCGTAAACCTTTTTTCCCCCAGCAGAAAACAATCGGGAATATGCAATTATAAAATATCCATAAAGTACGTTTTGGAGAACTTCCCACTCGTCCTTTGGAACTTCTCGTCGAGGGCGGACATTGCGCCCTAACCAAGTGCGGCCACGATGGCGTTCAGCAAGCCTGTTTTTCTTTTTGCACTAAAGTCTGTCCCTGGGCACCCACACGGCTGCTGGCTGGCACGGTGGAGGTGCAGCCGGGCAGCAGGATGACAGCATCAGGCTGGCCTTGCTGTGTGGGCCCCGGGTCCCCTGGGCCACCAGGCCTGGCATACACTGTCGCCAGTTGCCTGCCCCACTGGGCCCACTCACCGTCTCCTCCAGGGAGGCCAGCCGAGTCACCTCATTGGACAGCACTGGTCATCTGAGAGGACAGTCATGAGACTCACGTACAACTGATGGCTGAACCCTCACCCACTCCCAGCACAGTTAGTGCCCAGGCCATGAGCCCGGGGGCCAGACGAGCCACCTACTGTCCACAGGGACAGGAAGAGGCCTATTTTGTGCCTGGCTGATGTGGACCAAGTTCACTCTGAGAAGCCCCTCCCCCTGCACCTGCTGAGTGCACTCAGTGATGGCCGCTCCGACTCGCTGCTCTTCTCGGCTCACAGAGAGACAAGACTCGAGGTTTTCCTCCATTGGTCATAAATCCGAGGTCATACTTTACAATTTGCAGCAGTATGCTTCATTCAGTGATTGTCTTGAATCATCTACAGCTGTGTTTGTTCATTTAAAATGAATTTCTTACTGGGCTGGCCGAGTGGCACATTGATTAAGAATTGGCTTGGGACACCAGCTCTGAGCAGCAGGGCCCCAGTTCGCATCCCACATGGGGGCCAGTGACACTGTGCCCTCTACAGCTACGATGGTGAACAACAGCTCAGCCTGGAGCTGGGCTGCCGTGAGTTGCTGGTGACTACATAGACTGCAGCCCCTGCTGCAGTGGGTTGCCATGGGCTACCGTGATTGGCCGGCAGCCGGCATAAGCCACCGTGAGCGGCCGTCCAATGGATGGCAAGCGACTGCCTCACCCGGGAAGAGCGCAATGATGATACCAACATGGGCCAGTGAAGCGACATCCTCCACAACTAGACTGAAGAACAAAAGGACAGCAATTTGCCTGTTCCCCTTCCCTGATTCCACAACGCTGTTCCCCTCCCCCAATTCCTCAATAAAATCTTTTTAAAAAAAAAGAATTTCTTACTAAGTAGCACCTGGTTAAAGCATCAGTTCTTAAAACTGGGAAAAATGCGAATGGTATAAACCGTCCCATTGGGCGAGGCTGTGCTGGCTCTGGTTTCAGATGGGGCCCCCATCATGGGGACGGCCCTCCTCTACTCCTCGGTCACTCCCCCACCCCAAAACCAAGCTGCCCTCTGCAAAGCAGGCACAGGCTCCAGGGACCAGCCGCTCTGGGCCCTTCTGTACGGACGAACACTCCTGTGTGCTCAGGGGTCCCCATGGGATGCCACTTCCAGACCCTCTCTGACGGGCACCACTGTGCTGCCCCCTCCTCAAATGCCCACCCACCTGGTGCCTGCTAACCCGCCCCTCTGTGACCTTAGCTCAGCCTCCTCTGCAGCGCTGGCCACACCGGGGAGCGGGGTCTCTCTCCTATCTTCTCTCCAGACAGAGCTCTACCCGGGTCCTGGCTCTGCCGCTTCCTGGTGGGGCGAACTCCTGGCCTGTGTGGGTGTCAGGTTTTCACCAGTGGGGAATAAAACTGCCCCGATTCAAGGGGCCTCTTCTGTCCTGCCCACCCCAGCACCCGGTACCTCAGGTACCCCAAGGGTGGCCTGGGCTGGGCAGAGGCCAGGGGTAAGGCTGTTATGACACCCATGTCAGTGTCCCCGGAAACAGATGGAGGGCTCCTGTCGCCTTATGCTCACTGTCCATTCAAACAGAGCCAGAGCTGGCAGCAGGTGCCTCAGCAGAGAGAACATGGCCTTGGGGTCAGGGGTCGAGTGGGGGTAAATCCTGTTCCACGGCTGACAGCTGTGAGATCTCAGGCAAGTGACTTCAACATTTTGAAAAGCCACGTCCCCCTGGCAACATGGGGACAACGCCTGTAGGTAGCGCTGTGCTGGGAGGCGCTGAACAGACTCACGAGTGTCACCCGACACTGGCGTCGCCATGTGGCAGGGGAGCTGTGCAGGGACGGATGTGGGCTCAGTAGGAGTGCTGTGAGGGTCGCAGAGAACAGAGTGGGCACCAGCCTGGGGCCTCCGGCAAAGGCCAGAGGCGGCCTCTCTGAGAGGCAGCATTTTGCTTAGAACCAAATGAATGGAAGGGCTCTAGGCGGTGGGAACAGAAGGTGCAAAGGTCCTGTGGTGGGCACAAGCCCAGCACAACACAAGAACTGAAAGCACCGTGAAGCTGCAGCCAGAAGGCAGGAGGCGCACCAGGTCGTCCATTGACCCTGGAGAGCCAGGCAGAGGCCATGTGGGCAGGGGGCGCAGCAAGAGACCTGGGGGCAACTTCAGGTACAGGGGGCGTTGGTGGAGGGCTGACAGAGGAGTGACCAGATCTGCTTTGTAAGAAATCATTCGGTGGGGAGGGGAGGTCAGAGAGTCCCGCGGGGGCCGCCAGGGGTGCCGGTGCGGGGGGTGAGTGGCCGGGAAGGGCCACGGGGGAGTGTGACGGGAGGGGCACGGAAGCTGCAGGGCCCGGGGCTCCACTCAGGCCCGTGCTGCCCTTGGCATCACAACCCTGCGGGGTTCCAGTTACCACCCCATCTCTCAGAGCACGGCTCTGGAGGATGGCGAACTCGCCCATGACCACCCCAACTTATCCTGGCCACTCCCTGCACAGCTGCCCAAGCGTGACAACCTCCCAGCAAGCACCAGGAGACGCCTGGGGCAAGTCATCATCTCAGGCTCTGCAGTAACTACCATCGGCCCCCAGCGCGGCCCGGCTGGCACTCGGACACCCGGCCTCCCCACCGGGCGCAGGGAGGGGGCCCTTTACCTCGCCATCGGCTTTGCCAATCGGTGAGTCCATAACAAAGTCAGGGGGGGCGATCACGTCCACCAGGGCAACTGCATCATCTTTCAGCTGTTGGAAAACAAAGTACGTTCACTTGGCAACGCCCAGACATCTCCATGGCGACCACAGAGGAACAGAGCCCCAGAGTTTGTTGCTTGGCCCACTGGCAACAGTAACACTGGCGCACGGCTGGGCTCCCCGTGCGCATTATCTTCTCATTGGCTCATTAGAGTCCCTTGGGGTGCCTCTGAATATTTTCACCATGCTGCTATTCACTCAGCACTTCCAACATTTTATTTTTTTCAACAAAAAAATTTGTTTTTTTTCCGACAAGGTAGGGGACTGCTCATAAAAGTGACGACTCTGCAACTCATTCACTGGCAACAGTCTTCAGAGATTTGTCTCTGAACCCTGGGCCGTGGCTGTTCCAACACAGGAAGACATGTGCAGAACATGTAAGGGAGAAAGCATTTAGAAGCGCCTGGAAAAGTCCTCACAGGAGCGCCCTTAGCTTCGCAGCAGCTTTATCACTCTCCCATCCCGTTAGACAAAATATTCTTCAATATGGAATTTATACGAGGAGACTCGCAAGAATTTTCTTAAAATGCAAAACAAAAAAATTATTTTCTACAATAATTGTGAGAGGCCACGGCCATGCTGAACAGAACTCTGGGATGGGGGAGACCTTAACGATGCAGATTGAGAGGTATCGGTAAGCACAGAGCACAAAACCCCCAACAAAAAGAAGTACAGCCCCTGCCTGCAGTCGCAGGTGAACTAGCCAGCCCCACTCCAGCTGGACACCAGCAGAGCAAGGCCCTTGTCTGGACGGGTGGTCGGCAAACCTTTAACCTAAGGGGCCGACGAGAAATAGTCAGCTTTTGGGTCTGGGGTCTCCGCCTTGCTGCTCGCCTGGGCCTGGGCAGCCACATCCGGCCGGTGCACAGTGAATGGTCGGACTGGGCGGGGTTTGCCACCATGGACTACAGGATGGAGCTGGCACCCCCACCTGGCTGACCCCAGGGAGAATGCGGGTGGAGCCGGGCGTGAGCTGCATTCGGCTTAGCCACTGGCCCTGGACCACAGTGAGAAAAACGTCTTCCTGTCACTGCTTTACTGTGGGAAAAGTAACTGTGGCCGCACCTGTGCACTACAGATGGAGACACACCTTACAACACAGGGAGACAGTGATGGGTGCTTCCAAAACGAATCCGGAGAGGCTTAAAACCAATCAGAGATGTTACCTGGAGCTCATCAGCTCTGACAGTGCTGACGGGAGAAATGAAATGGCATGTCCCTGTCACTCGGGGCACTTGCTGGCATGCTGGTAGGGCTCTGACTCACTTCCTACCCTCAAAGTAGAGTCACGACGCGGCTACGTGCAACATCACTGCCCAGGACACTGGCCATGGCATGTGGGGCTCTTACATTTTAAGTTAATTTAAATGAAAGGAAGTTACAATCTTCAGCCACACTGGCCACAGCTCCACTGCCAGCAAACCCCCCAGTCAGCGGTGACCACGTGGGACAGCACAGCTCCAGGACACGTCCATCCCTGTGGGATGTTCTACTGGAGACAGCGCCACCAGAACATCGAGTGGGGATTAGGGCTATTGGAGTTTTCTGGGTGACAAAGGTCAAAGAATACAATAAAAAAGGTGAAATATGAAATGAATTTAAATTGGAGGTAGAAATGTGCGAGAAAAGGATCATCGATGTAGTTGTGGAAAGTGTGAAAACTGGAGTGAGCCAAGTGTGTACAGATTCTTAAGGCATTCCCTCAGAGTTACTCTTTTCCTGAAACTTCTGGCACAGGCATGTTTTCTTGTGACGTTCCTGTTTTGCTAAACCTTGCGTGCATGGCAGAGGGGAGGCAGAGGTGAGAGGCACTAACATACAGGGTTACAGGTTGAGTCATACGAAAATGCAAAGCTGGTGACCACTCACCTGGGAACACAGGGCCAGGATGGCGCTCTCTACTATTTTACCTGCTTGCTCACCAGTAAAGTAGCCACCTGTAAGCACAGCATTGGTTACCCTGGTATCTGGTGCCCCAAGTCCAAAATCACCCACAAATAGCAATCATTCTGAAATAGCTTTCCAAATTAGCCCATTTTGTGTGAAAATGTGTCACTGTCGCCCGCTCCCCCCCCCCACCGCCCCAGCCTAGCTGAGCTGCGACCCCTTTGCCAGAATGCAGTGGCCAGGCGGGGAATCTGATGTCCCTGTCCCACGGGTTCACTGCACATGTTCAAGGAGCTCAGGGCCAGGAGCTGGGGCTGCAGGAGCAGAGGGCCCGCCGTGAGGCAGGCAGAGCCCGCGGCATCCCGGAGACAGGGGTCTGCGTGGAGCTCACTCAGGGCAGAGGGGCTCAGGAGGCAGGCGGGGCCCGGGCTGGCGGGTGGGTTCTTCTGAAGGAGAAACTGGATTCTAGGAGACTGAAGCCCGGATGGCGGCTTGGGAATGCCTGGGGTGACTGCAGGGAGAGCGCGGGGCTGGGGGCACGAAGGGCCGTCTGGAGCCACCGGGGAACGGGGTGCAAGGCCCATGTCCTCAGCCGCGCCTCCCACCCTGCAGCGGGCTCTGCTGCGGCGTCTAACAGGCCCTGTGCGTTTGAAAATTCATTTGCTGTAGAACCTGCTTTTGTTTCATTTTTTTCTGTAAAAAACTACTTCTGATCACTTGGAGCTGTCCTCTCTCAGGCGTGGTCTCCTGCCCCTGCACCCAGCGGCGCCCTCTGCCTTCCTGTGCTAACTGTGCACTCTCACTGCCTCCGCGGGGCAACACCAGCTCGAAGGGGGACAACATGGGTTCTTGGCAAGGGGGAGGGGCAAAAACAGACTGCTCCTAAGGCCCAGGTAAACATATGGGATGTAGCATTAACATCTCATGGGGGCAAACAGGAAAAAAAGCCTAGAAAGACTCCTTAGGGGGATGGTCATGGAAAGAGGCTGAGGAACTCAGGCTAACCCTCTTCTTCGAGGAATCAGCCCAGGTGTCACCTCCTCCAGGAAGCCCTCCTGGTCCCCAGTCTGGGCATTCCTGGGGGTGCCTCCCCGGCAGCCTGGGCTCCTATCTGTCTGTGCCCTATGGGTGCCCTCTTGATGCTGCTGTGCCCCCCTGCTTTCTTATTACGGCATCAGGGTTATCAGTCCACAGGCTCGCTCAGCACGGGACGAGTGATGGAGAAGTCACATGGGAGTCACGCCACACGGGGGCAGCACAGTCTCCCAGACAGGGCAGGGGTCGGTGCGCCGGCAGGTGCCTCACCTTGGTAGAGCAGGGCCGTGTGCTGGCTCAGGGACCACAGGCCGTAGAGAGCACTGAGCCGCTGGAGCACGGCCCGCAGAGGGGGCGGCACGCTGGGCTGGTGCGTGTGCTCGTGGAATCTCCGCACCACCGTGAGCTCCAGGAACGCCAGGGCCAAGGAGCGGCAGTAGTACACCTGAAAACAAAGGACACAGCCACCCCCGGTGAGCGGCAGCGGGGACTTCTCAGTCGAGGGAGCTAAGGGTCGGATGTCACTTTACAGCAGTAAACCTTGGAGCTGATGTTTGAAGAGCATGCACTCAAAGTGAGAGCCCGCTAGTCCGACGCTCAACTCGGGATAGGGTGCAGCCCGTGCCCACAGCGTTGGGACCAACCTTCCTCCACACTGGTCCCTACACCAGGCTCCCCTCTCTCATGAACCCCCACCCCCAATAAGCCCCCTGCCCCAGGGGAGGATGCAATGAGTCCATTTGGAGCCAGGCCTTAATTTCGGCTGCACCCTCATTCCTGAGGACATTTGAATTTTAACAAGTAATGGATACTTGAGGCAAAAAACAAATTCCAAATTGTCCAGCTTTAGACATCAGCCGTGCAGTACAGGGACAAGCGCTGGGCCCTGGGGTCAGCAGGCTTGGGTTCAAGGTTGGCCCCAGGGCAGGAGAGCCGGCTGACGTGGGGCATTTCTCTTGGCCTCAATCTCTTTATCCATCAAAGAAGACAGCGTGAAATGACACATTTTGGACGAAAACATCCTCGTCTGCCTTCTGAGGCACAGATGTCCTGTAGGGAGTCCCCAGGAACTCGGGACAGGGGTTGGCTCCAGGGTGGTGAGACCAGAAGGCGGGAAGGCACCACTGCCTCTCTTTTTATATTTCTCACTTTGAACATGTGATGTTGTTACCCAGCCAAAAAAGTGCGATAAACCCGAATATATAAATATATATATTTTTAAAGATTTTACTGGGGAATTGGGGAAGGGGAATAGACAAGTTGCTGTCCTTTAGTTCTCCAGTCTAGTTGTGGAGGATGTCACCTCATTGGCCCATGTTGGTATTGTGATCACTGCGCTCTTCCCAGGTGAGGCAGTCACTCGCAGGCCATTGGACGGCCACTCATGGTGGCTCACACTGGCTACTGGCCACTCATGGTAGCTCACGGCAGCCCACTGCTGCCCCACTGCAGCCTACACCATTGCCGGCGGCTCACGTCTGCCCAGCTCCAGGTCGAGCTGTTGTTCACCGTCTTAGCTGTAGAGGGCAGTGTCACTGGCCCTCATGTGGGATCCGAACCGGGACCCTGCTACTCAGAGCTGCCCAAGCCAGCTCTTAAGCAACATGCCACTCGGCCAGCCCACCTATATGTTTTTAAAGAACCTACTGTGAGCATCTGGCTTGCCTAGATAAACAGTAAGTGACAGTTGTTACTGGCAGGAATAAACAGAGAAAAGTTAATGAACTTCCCGGCTGAGTCAAAGAGGGAGCATGTTTTATATTTTAACTAAAGCGGTAAGTTTCCCCCAAAAGATAGCAGTTCCCACTCTCCACTGACAGCACATAGAGTGGCTGCTGTCCACTGGACACCGTCCTTCAACCTGCATGTCCCTGGTGCTGGCTCACGGTCAGCAGCCACGCGTGGCTGCCCCCTCGGGCCAGGCTGGTTTCGGGCCAGGCTGCCCCTTGATCCACAGGAATGCTTTCCTGGCTGGGATGCTGTCGGTTGTGTTACATGCGTCCCCTGTGTGCAGTCTGTCTTCTGACTTTGTTTATAGCATCATTTGCTGTTCATAATCGGTGACTGTCTGTGCAGTCAGAGCTGACAGTTTTCGTTTACGGCTTGAGTTTCCTGTCTTAGGAAAGCTCGTCGCATGCCCGGGTTACACAAACATTCTCTGAAGCGTGCTTCTCACGCACCACTGCTGCTCCGAGCACCGTATGGGAAGGTGCTATCTCTCTTAGGACCTTGAACATCCAACCCAGGGCTCTGAGCGCTCTCAGCTGTCAGAAATGACCCAGGTGGGGACAACACAGACCCCTCTCGGGTCGTTACCTTCTCTTCCAGGCCTCACAGCCACTTTCCTGCCCATAGTCACGGCCACTCCATGGGGCTGTACCTCAGCTTGCGGTGCCGGTCAGCTCTGAGGCTCTCCCCAGGGACACTCGCTGGCCCTTCCATCCTCTGCCACGGGACTCTCTAGAATGTCATTATGGAGTCCTCGAATGAGGTTCTAAAGGTGAGCTACTTCTCAAACAGCTGAGCCACCGGCTCGGGTTCCATCATCAGAGTGCACGTGCCAGGTGCCGCACGGCCAGCTGGCGTGGGATGACAGCTGGGACGGGATTGACAGCAGCCTCGGGGCACCTCTCCAGGATTTGGATGTGGGGGGATAGGCTCCCTTTGTGCCCTCCATTCCTTTGGGGTCTTGGCTTGTAATTTGGGGGTGGGTCTCCATTTCCATTTCAAGAATGACCATCTGACACACAGAGAAAAGGAGTGACAGGGGACAAGCAAATCCACAGCCATCAGTGTCCGAATGACCAAGCCCATTCCAGAAGGATCATGTTCACACCTCTGGTTTTGGTCTCTGAACTGATTCTGACCATCACTACATTCATTTCTTTTAAGCCACAGGTTTGATTTTGGTTTAGTGACCCTCGGCCAGAGCCTTTCCAATCAAGACTCCATCCTTGGTCCTCACCTCCCACCCAAGGCAGGTGTGTCCAGCAGGTCTCTAGAGACACCACCAGCTTTGCGTCCCCTTGAAGCCTGAAGGCTGCCCCTCGAAGCACAGAGAGGGGCCAGCCTTCGGAGCAGACGGACAGAAGCGGATGCCGAGTTCTCAGAAGACACAGCCTCGTTAAGCAACACCAACGAGAAGGGACAACACCGTTTTGAGGAGCTTCTCTCCGTGGCCTCCCAAACGACACCCATCACTGCAGATACAGGACGCACGGACCACCACAGACCAGACCCTGGCATCACAGGCTGTTTCAGAGCACTGCTTCTGCACAGGGGGTTGCCGGGACACCAGACAGCCCTGTCCTGTGTGAGAGCCAAAGCCACCCGTGGACCATTCCCACCAAGTCTCCCTGGGGAGGGTGATAGACTTTGGAAAACCAAAGGCAGAGCTCCAGCGTGACCTCATGTGTCACGGGGCCAAGGCTCTGTCAGCCGATCAGTGGGGACCGGCTGGTGTCCCAGCCCCACCATGTGTCTAAGGCTCCTGCAACCCAGTGTCCCACCTCCAGCAACCCCAGCTCTGGCTGACGGGCTGAATCCTGCAGCACTTGACGATGCCCACACTCTCTCCCACAAGCCAGCCAGGGAGGTGCCACCATCCCCACAGCAAACCAGGGTGCAGCGGTCAGACGATAGCCCGAGGTCCCAGGGGCTGGAGGGCTGGGCCCACTTCCCCTGGACATTCAGCGTACCTGGGACCCGACAGCACAGGAATTAGGAGCGAATAATAAATAAAGCCATTTTTAAAGCAAACATACCTGACAGTTGTTTCTTGCTGTAAAGTCATCGCTCCCTGATCTCTTCTCTTGGTTTAGTTTTTGGTAACTCTCTCGGAGCAGGTAACAAACCAACCACTCGTATGCTGCCAGGGGGACTTTGAAACAAGAAACAGAGGGAAAGTGACAATAGAGAATCTAAGTGTCAAGTGCTCACCTACCATGCAGACGGCATTGCGAGCACCTCTGTATACTGACGTGTGTGAGGTGTGTCCAGTCTACAGACAGGGACACTGAGGCACAGGGAGGGGTGTGCCCAAGGGCCCCTGCCAGGCAGTGGCCGGGCTGGGACAGGCACAGGTGAGGTGTTTCCTGGCTCTGCCCTGAGGCTGTCCAAGTTCCACACTATTCTAGCAACCATGGAGGCAGCAGGGTCACAGGGCCTCACTCGTGATGGCCACACTCTGGCTGGTACTGATGTGCTTGGTCTGATGGGA